TCTCTGACAATAGGTTTATAACTAAATACGCTGATCAATTTTAATAATAATCATATAATAATAATATAAACCAAAATATTTCAAGGATAAGATACATAGCGATGGATTTTTACAGACATGTAAGGTATTTCAATAATTTCAAATACTGCCGTAGAGGATTTCGTCAAACGCTAGCGTCGTAAAGAGAAAGAGCTCTTCGTGAAAATTACGGCCGCATTTTCGTGAGATATTGTCACACATTTTTTGAAAGATCGAGCGAGAAGAATCTTGCGCTAGATTTGAGACCGCGCACGCGGCAATAAATTTCATTTGCAGGTCAAGCAACTGTGTGCAACATCATAACCGAAATTCTGTGAAACGTGTTGGAAATGTTCCGGTAGGACATGCGGGGTAGAACGAAGCTTCGTAATGTTTCTGGAAGATCATAGAAAACGGAGAACGCAACGACATGAGGAAATGGAGAAATAATACGTTTTCTACACTTCGCGATACGACATATGACATCATATCTCATCTCATTTTAACGAGAAATAGCTGTGTTTCTAACTAATTAAAAAATCCGAGTGTCTCTTCTCGATCTAAAAAATGTGTAGATAGAAGATAGAGGATACGTCATTACGTCGTAAAAACTTCTTTCAAGAAAATGTTATCTTCTTTATATTGTAACATTGTAAATATGCCTATTTAGAAACAAAAACTCAACTTTGAAACTGCATAATAAGACTCATCTGCAAAATAATTTAATAAATCAGAACATTATTTTAGATACAAAAACATTTGAGAGAAAATAACAAAAATGCAATGTATTTATTGCATTTATGCATTTTATATACAATAAAATCTATATAAAAATAACTTAAACTGAAATGATTTATATCTTGAAATGTATCTCATTTTTAGCTAATTATTTTTATTAAATAAATTTTTTAACCAGAGAATTATTTATTAATAAAAAAATTCATAATATCATAATGATAAAACGATAATTATAACCTTTAAACCAAGCTTGGTTAATAGAAGTCTGTAGCCAAACGTTGATAAGAATATATGTATATTGTAATGGTGGAGATCTTTAACAACCGATCCATCTCGGTGAAATACATACTCCCTCCGTTTTTCTCAATCTTCGATTGGTAGCAGTCAGTCGTAAAAATACATTTCAATATTATTGCAAGGTTTACGCTTTCTAACAACTTTTGTGCATATAACAGAAATCATATGCAGTCAAAATATTTAAATTTGGTTGATAAAGATACATATTTTTAAGAAATGCGTCAAAATCAATTAAATACATATACTGTTAAGTTTACATAAATCATCTTTTTCTCTCGAAATCTCTCGGATGTTACTCTCATGCTGTACCAATAAAAACACGCTATTCTTCTTTCGAAACATTATGATACATTTACAGAATATGCAGATATGTTCCAAGTCATTTATATGAAAAGCTCATCTCTGGATTCATGTCGTGTGTATTTCCGGTTAAAAAACAATCGCATCTTTTGTAAATCGTACTTTCATTATTTTCTTGCTTTCGAAGTACAAATGCTCTTGTTATGACCGACGACCGTGTCGAGATATAGTAATATCAACGAAATTAAACCCACGAGTGAAAAGCCTCTCTTGCAAATTCAATATCGAACGCACACCGACCACGATGCTAAAGTCGATAAATTGATGATAACTATTAGCTGATATAAATCTCGTTATTTCTCTTTAGTTATTATACAGACATGGCCTACCTCCGATTAAAGCTCATACATAATAAAATAATGAATGATTTCAGTTTAATTAAAAAATACAACAAATTTGTGCAAAACTGCTTATTTATGCCAACAAAACTATGTTGCACATCTAGACATTTAAACATTCTTTAAAATAAAAAAGTCATAGATGTATTTCAATTAAAACACACACATACACACATTAATATCTTAGAAATGCTATAGTTTTGTATCAATTATAAAACAAAATTATGATAGAATATAATAAAAACTTCATTAATAGTTAGAAAGAAAATACAAATTTATCTCGAAAGAGGAATCATACCTAAGATTATTCAGCATATCGGCGATGTACGATGAGATCGCGGAATATTTCGTGATCGTATTTATAAAATCGATGTAACGACATCGGTGCATTCGCGAGTCGGGTTGCCACATCCGATTTCCACGTTTCTATTTCGCTATCGCTTTTTGTGCGACCGGCCATTGTAATCCGCCTGATCGCCTGTGTATGGCAGCGTGCTGCGCAGAGGCTTATTGACGTCGACTTCCGATACAGGCTGTCGAGTTGCTGCTGTTGTGAGCCCAGCGGCTATGCCGCACGAGAGAGAACCTCGCGTCAAGCCCCAATTACGGATAATCAATTTCGCCAACGACGTCTTCGAGCGCGAACGGCTTTAATTAAAGGTGCGGATGTTCCTTTCTGTCGCGGGTATACCCAGTGGCCCCGCCCCGCTCAAACAGCAGCGCAAATCTTTCCGATGCCGTATGACACGCGACGATTTCAAATAAAGCGCCTCGCACGAACGTTCGCACACACCCGAAATACACGATCGATAAACCAAACGCGATACGACTACCTTTATCTCTCTTTCCTCTTTTCTCTTCGTCTTTCCTTCACTCTACATACGTACATATATAATGTATGTATATATTCATTTATTTATTTATTTATATAAATATAATATTTATTATTATTATTTAGTCCGTAATACGCGCGTATGTATTAATTCACAGTGAATCTCTTCTAGATCTATTAATGTATATTTTATATTTAATCAGTGTTTTTCCGTTGTCGCTCGTGCATCCCGTTATTTCGCATAGTACATAATTTTCGCCCAATAATCATTTTGTTTGACACGTTAATTATGCATCATTAAACATGTTTTTTATCTTAACAATTTGATTTCTTATTGTCGTTATTTCTCGGCGATATTAAGCGTAATCGCTCTGAAATAACGCGAATCGACCGATTGAACAAGGCAAATTTCACTCACAGTGTAAGCACATTTCTGCAAGTATAAATAGATAATTAAAACTCGGCTCATTTAAACTGAATATGGATGCTTTAACATTTATAAATATTCCATATTCTATTTTATCAAATAACTGTTCTTCGTTATGCGTGTAATACCATTCTAATCTGAATAAAAATCGTTATTTAAAAAATATATTAGTAATATAAAAAAAACATACAAATAATATAAAAACTCTATTAACTTTAATAAAATGATAACTATAGTCCTATTTACAGTATGTGTCTAACTAACATTGACTGTTTGACGAATTGAAATAAAACAAAATAGCTGCATGAGATATCCAGTCAGCGCTTTCTCGTACTTTCCTTACTTAAAACCCTGATGCATTCTACATATGTCTCATCAAAATTCACGCCACGGCTATATATATTGGTTTTCACAATGATAATCTTGGTGACGTTCCGCGATGTGTGAAATAATTCGAAAAACTTGAGAAAAATATTCAAACGAACAAGGGTGAATCCGCAAGCACGTGTAACTTTCCTTCTCACATCTCCGACTTCGCGGTAATCTCATACATTTTCGCAGGAAACTGTGACCGGATTATCGTTTTCGTTATCCACTTTTTCTAAATTCTAAAGCAGCAATATGTCGATATCGAAATGATTTATTTATAAAAGAGAAATCTTCACACGTTTATGTATTTCCACCGTGGAGAAGGAACTTTAAGTCAATACTGCTTACAAGTATCCTAGCGGGTAGTTAATTGAACGCATCAATGCTTGCGGAGGTGGTTCCATGTTCACGTAAACAAGAGCTTTCTCACCTTCGCCTGAGATACGCAAGGCTCAACGCCCGAAATTGTGTTTAAGCATTACGTACGAGAGAGTATTGCTCCATCAGAAATAGTGCTGATAATTAATCGTTGCAATATTTTCAATAATACTGACTAATTAACTTATTTTCAAGGATAATACATTTTTTATGATCAACTTAATGATCACTACGTAATGTAAAAAGTTTTAAGCATTAAAATTAAAAGTTTGCTATAGATTTTCCAAATTGTACTCATTGTTAGTTGGACCTCTTTTAAAAATTAAATGTTGCAATTTTTTTCTCTTCATACAAAATTAGAACAAATTATAGAAAAATTATAATAATAATAAAAATTTTTACTTCAATTTAAATAGAGTTTAACTTGAAGAATAAATAGAAGTTTAAATAGAATTTTTAATTTGTTAAAGTAGTATACAAGCACTCTTATATACGATATAAATTTGTAAATGCTAAAATTATTGAAATTAACAAAAACCGCTAGACAGAAGTATATTTATAATTCCATTTCTACAAAACAATAATTAAAATCAACAAGAAACAAATTAATCACATAAATATTAGTAATTAATGTATAGATAAAATGTTTAAATTTTTTTTATATAGTGCACTTATTAATCATTAAATGTTGGAAAATATCAAAATGTCATGTAAATAACTATTAGATTTAATCAAGCTTCTATTACATAGCAGATAACAATACCAACTAGCATCATTAATAACGACCGACCAGTGAGATGAGAGGCAAACAATACTTCCTCTTCATCAAAAAAGTGACACAGATTGACGGTATCAGTAAATACAGTCGCGTCTCCTCAAGCTTTCAAGAACTTCTCTAGAATTCCTATAACTTATCCTTTATCCATTTTTTCAGCTGTCAACTTATCGAGTGTCTTCCAAAAATATTTAATTCTGTCAATCAAAATCTCTTCAAACTCTCGTCAGAGAAAGTTAGAAAAGTTTGAATGCCAGTCATACTTAAAGTTTGTGAACATTAACAAAATTTTACGAACGTTTTCATTCAAGATAACGTAAGTCAAGCAATGTAATCTTTAGACAGAAACTTTTTAAGCATTACTCTCCTTTTTATCGCGTTGAGTTCTTGAGAAATGGGTCTGATTAGTAAGACCCATTTACACTCGTCTTCACGACGAGTTTTCGCGGACCTCTTCGTGGAACTTACCAGTCCACGAAGTTTCGTACGCAAGCAGTCCGATCGATTCTCGCTTTAAGGGACGATTCACGTGCTCGCCGTACCGACGAAGGGCGCGAATCCACGACGTTTATACAGGGTAATCCAAAATAGGTCGATCGTGCGGGCGATCTCTGACGATTGATCTATGAACCGACGACAAGACAGATCTATCGGTCGAAACTCGATTCACTAACACTCACGCTTATTTTTGCCGTCACTTCACAAAACCTGCTGATCTTATATCTCACTTTACAAGGCTCCTCGCGTCATTATCTAGCAGATTCACCTATTTCCGACGACATGTGAAATTCACTTCAATGAATTCCAATTCCAATATGTAACCCCGATAACACACACTTAACGATTAATCGCATCCGATGCTGAACGATTTAACATTCACGTTACATCCGCATGACGTTTTTCCGCGTTCAACCGTTCAAATAAACTCACAACTTTTATCCGATAGTTTTCGGACGTCTTCTCTCGTAGATGCAGATCGTCCGAAGAACCATGTGATGTTCTTTACGGTGATAATTGTTTTCGTTGACATACGAAATTTGTCATGCGAGAAATCTGTCCGTCCACACCGTTCCTCGAGCGTGAACTTTTAACCGTCCAAAAGTGACGCGCTTTGATCAAGTTTCTCTTAGCGTGCCTGTTCCGCTTCGTTGATATCCAAGCTCAAGAATAGCCACAACCCCCGTGGCAAACTCTAACTCTACAAGGTCTTTCTCCCGTTTTCATATTTCAGCAGACAGGTCTTCACGTAAATCCTAGCAGAGACATGCACGCGACACGGCCACTACCCAACCTCGAAATTCTAGGTGTGTTCAGGTGTGTTGCGTCGCGATAGGATCGCCACGTTCAACGGTAGCCACGTGGTGCACGACGGTAGAAACGTGCCACTGATCGCAAGCGTCGATCGCCGCGAGCTAAACACGGAATCGTCTTGACACGGCACAAATCAGTCCGCAGGGGCCCGGGTTTCCCGCACGGCCACAGGATTCGAACTACGTACCCGGCCGAACGACCGGTTCGATCGGTTCGACCCGCTGGTTCGAGGAAAGTTCGACGAAACCCCCGGCGGACTCCCGGCGCTCGCACCAGAACGAACGACGCCCTGTTGTCGACGCGACACGGGGTGAACGCACGGCTTTGCGGACGACGATCCGCACCCTCCACCGCCCAGAAACTACCTTCCGCCACTGCCACCACCATCACCGCCACCACCACC